GCTGGATTTGGTGGAGTTTTTCAGTGCTTTCGAACCAGCCCACAACCTGCTCAGCTTGCACAACACCGAAACCGATCGCCGTACTTTACCAATCATGCGTTCCCGACAAAGGCTCTCATTCACAATTCAGATCAGGTGTATGTTGTCGATTGTTCCATTGTTCGTCGCGGCGAACGGTTGCATGTGTCGGTTTCGTTGTACCGTTCACTGTTTGCAGCGCGTGTGCGCTGAGCACTTTACATCCACAGGACGGTTCAATCTATTCTTCCAAGCAGTCTGAACTGTAGAAGCTTAACATTTCAAGCAGGAACTACGTGTAGCCTGCTGGGACGTACGGACGTTTAGCAGTTAGTGAAGTCAAACTTTGTAGTTACTGGCACCACATCGCGATACAGGTAGGATATTTTCGGATTCTCAGATAACCATTTACCAAGTCAGGGACGTCAGCGGCTTGAATATGGATGGAAATTCTATTCGTCTGGTAACCAGGACTTTTGCCGTAAGGTTGCAGTTTACCGTTTCGCAACGAGATACATTAAGCCTAGCTTTGTCCCTGCGTAGACCCAACCCAAACAGCTTTCCAGAGGGCCCGAAGGAAGACCAGTTCTAAACCGCCTTTATGCGGTACTTCATGCGTTTCTTCGAGATCAATTATCGAACGTCCCTGGTGACCTCAACGCCCTGGTCGGCGTCGACAATGACAGCTGGTCCCCTGTACAAGGTCGACGTGGCGACAGTGCTGCCAAGAAAAAATTTCACCACCTGTTTGCGCCACACGCTACCCAGTCATATTTGGAACCCTATTTGCCTGCATCAATCATCGCACGGGAATTGCGCTAAAAGGTCGCTTCAGAAGCCAAATTGATCACGTGCTGATCAGCGACAAATAGCAAAGTGCCGTTTGCGATAGTCGGGCGAAATGAGGTGCCGATATTGAAACGAACAACCGTTCTAATTTTTGTGAAAATTCGCCTTCGTTTGAAAACTGCTGGTAGAACATCTCGGAGAGGAAGAACGACGGCTTTGGCAAGGACAAGTTGAAGGAGCCTATCACTGGGAAGGCGTCCAAGACTGAGATTGACTGCAGATTCTCTGCTTTAGACTCTAAGACCTGTCAGGACCCACAACTGCTCTACACCCGCCTTAAAAAAAGCATCGTCGCTACATCATTGTTGCAAGACCATTGGTGTCAGAAACAGAAAGACGAGGCAGCCCTGGGTCACGATTCGAACTTTAAATCTTTGTCAGCAGAGAGATGCGGAGAAACTAGTGTCCTGGCGTGATCCCGATGTGACAAACTAAAAAAACGTCTTGTCTTCTAGTCAAAGTAGTCAGTAGAAGCTACCGCGGGGCGGGCAACGATGGCTGGACTTCGAAGCGCAAATGTTGGAAGATACAGCGGTAAACGGGACCAGAAGATGCTCTATGGCCAAGTGAGCATCATCACCATCGGTGGCAAGTAGAAACTTACTCCCATTCTGTTGTGCAAGCCAAGTCCTGCGAGCCGCTACTAGTTCCCCCATAGTCCTTGTCCTTCGGTAAATCTTCTAATGGAAAGGAAAGTTGGCAAAGATTTTAATGCTGACTGTACGCCAAAATCGATCGATGAAATCCGAGATGCGGTAAGATTCTGCGTAAAGTTCGAAGTCAATGGACACGACGGTAATGGAACGGATATCTTTAAGTGCAAAGGTGGAAACCTTTTTCACCGAATCCAGCTGGTTTTCGACCGCATATGGCGAAAGTCGTTGATCCCAGAAAACTGGAAGAAAGGCGTAACAGTTCCGATCTTCAACAGTGGGAGTCGCGCCGACTGTACACGAGCTGTCGAGGAGTCACTGTCTTGCCGGTGTTGGAGAAGGTACTCGCGCGAAGGATTCTTGGACAATGGATGAGAAAATTTACGATCGTTCACTGCAAACTAAGCAAACAGACTTCTAAAATGATCTTTCGTGCACGGACAACAACAGCATGTGAAACGAATCACCGAACAGTGCCGAAGTC